ATGATTCTTGGAGATTTGCATGAGTTTAGGGTTAATGAATAGTGTTTTAGGGTTTTTATGAAATGTTGAGTAGATTGGCTATGTTCAAGGAAGAATGAGGCTTAGAGTATGTTGTGAAAAATGCTAGGAATGACATTTAATCGGTAGAAATGAGTTTATAGTGTTATTTTAGTATGCTTTGATGTTTGGAGAAATCTAGGCTTGGAACTATGGATTTCCTTGCATTGTTAGCATTGTTTGATTGTATTCCTTGTGTTGATAGGATTGAGGCAAGAGGACCAAGTGGAGTGACCAACCCTTGGGGTTGTGTGCAATTGAGGAAAGCTCAAAGAGCAAGGTAAACCTTTGGACCTTGTGGTTGATCCCATTGAGTGTTCCACCATACTCCGTTGAGGAGAAATGGTTTATGAGATGTGATATGTAATTATGATAGTGATTGTATGCATTGATTCATGCATTGATACATGTTATGATTGATTGATGATTATTGGTTGATGTTTGATTGTTTAAGAGTAATTGAGGAATGATTATAGAAGTAGCAATAATGAATGAGGTAATGGTTGAGGATTGTGATTGAGGTTATGAGTGATAGTATTATGATGAGGATGATTGGTAGGAACTTCCCTTGGAAACAGCCCTATGTGGATCTCCATGTGATGAGCCTAAGAGGAACAACATGTGGATCCCTCTTGGAGGTTCCTAGATTGAGGAAAGGACTTCCCTTGGAAACAGCCCTATGTGGATCTCCATGTGGTAAGAGCCTAAGAGGAACAGCCCTATGTGGATCCCTCTTGGAGGTTCCTAGATTGAGGAAAGGACTTCCCTTGGAAACAGCCCTAGGTGGATCTCCATGTGGTAAGAGCCTAAGAGAAACAACCCTTTGAGGATCTCTCTTGGAATAGATTGAGGAAAGGACTTCCCTTGGAAACAGCCCTATGTGGATCTCCATGTGGTAAGAGCCTAAGAGAAACAGCCCATAGTGGATCTCTCTTGGAAGTCCATGTGATGCTTGTGGATAAGAATGTGTTAAGCTATTATGATTATGTGTACATCAAAGTGAACCTTAGGGTGGAGTGATCTCCAAGGACCTCTGGTTTACTGTGATATATTCGTATATCTCACCCCGTGTTGTGGGGCATCATTTCAGGTACTGATAGAGGTGAGGTTGATCGAGGCAAGAAGCGTGAGTAGACTGTACCTGATAGCTGGACATGTTGAGTTGCATGCCATTTAGCATTGCTATATGTATATTTTGATGCCACATGATGTATTTTGGAGGACTTAGTGCATGATCATTGTAGTAGTAATGGGTATCTGATACAGGGTTACTTGCTTTGATCATGTTCATTTTGTAGCTAAGTCCTTTGGCATGTATATGAGATTTGTAATTAAGACATGATGTAATATTGTAAGTAATGAAGATATTGGTGTATGATGCTTACTGTAAGTTAAATGCATGAATGTATTTTTATGTATTGGATATGTTGAGCTGGAAAGTCAATTAGGTACCTTGTGCTAAGTTGGGAAACGTTGAGAAAACAAAGGTTATGCTGCCTAATTTCCGTTAAATCAATGATGAGAGGATGAGAGTTAAGCAATGATATAGGGATATCACAAGCTTGTTAAATAGGTTGTAAAATGTGTAGGATTGATTTCCCAAGAAAGATGCATGAAAAATATGAGTATAGGAAATTGCCCAGAAGAGGGGGCTTAAGCCTGCAAATGGAGGCTTAAGCCTGCTCAGGGGGCTTAAGCGCCCAGGAGGGGGCTTAAGCGCCCTGATGCACCTGTGAAGACCAAAACTTTCTGCCGCCTGGGGCTTTAGCGCCCAAAATGGGGGCTTAAGCGCCCAGGTAGCGCGCTTAAGCGCCCTGGAGCGAGCTTAAGCGCCCTTGGTGGCTAAAAATGTAAATTCCCTCTGTCTGTGGGCGCTTAAGCGCCCTGGAGTGCGCTTAAGCGCCCTGCCCGCGTAGTTTTTCAGCATACACCTGAGTTAGTAAAATTGTCATAACTTGAGCTACAGAGCTCCAAATGAGGAGCGGTTTGAAACCACGCGTAGCTAACGAAGAGATCTACAATATAGTAGAAGTTGGGAAATAAATAAGAATTAAATTAATGGTTTAAAAATGGAATAAGAACATGATGTTAAGCTTGGTTTATCTGATTCCGCAAGGTAATATGGTTATGATCACGCAATTGGCTATTTTAAATTCGGCGTCGTTTTAAAAAGAAAAACTTATCTGGATTTTAATTGAGCCAATGTGATTGTAACTGCGCTTAATATCATAATGCGATGTTAACAAACCGGTTCTAGAACGGGGCGTTACATTTTATGGTATCAGAGCAGTTTCGTAGGGAATAACTGTTAGCTATTGTTGAGTATGCTTAGTGTTTGATGTTTTATAGTTGTTTTAGTACTCTTTATGATTATTGCATTTGTGATCACTAAGTGTGGGCCTGATCAACTCACTTCTTTGTGTAACATGTGTAGTGACATGACGAGGAACCGAAACAACCCCGGACCATCAAACACCAATGCTCAGCCAGAACCTGTTTTGGCTGCTCTTGTGAGGCTTAGAAGTGGCCGTGGGGCAACGAGCGTACAGCCTGATCCCGTGGCTGAAGCTCTTGCAGCCGTTCAGAGGGAGTTGGCTGCTAGCAGGCAAGCCAATGAAAATCTGATGAAAACAAATGAAGACTCGCGGACTGCTATGGCCGCGATGATGACCGAGTTGAGGACGTTGAGGGGTCCTAGGCCCGTGAACTGGCAACCCACTCCTCCTCCTCACACTGCTACGCCTTCTCCACCTCCTTCACAGGAAGATGGTGCAGTGGGTAACAATGAAGGTGAGGGTAGTCACCACTCTGGAAGTCGGAGTCATCACACTGAGGTTCGTCAACCTCGAGTTGAAAATGTCGGTGATCATGAAGTGGAGGAAAGAAGATTGATGGCTTTCTGAAAACACAAACCTCCTTCTTTTAAGGGAGGTTATGAGCCAATGGCGGCTGCGAAATGGCTCCAAGCTATGGAGAAGATATTCAGGGTGATGAGGTGCCTTGATGCAATGAAGTTGGCCTACTTTGTTTATATGCTGGAAGAGGAAGCGGAAGATTGGTGGACCAATACCGTGCAGCCATTAGAAGCTGAAGGCCGGGAAATCACCTGGCGGTTGTTCGAGACATTGTTCTTGGATAACTATTTTCCTAGGGAGGCTAGGGAACAGAAACAGAATGAGTATAACGATCTCAAGCAAGGGTCGATGACAATTGACCAATATTTCGCCAAGTTCAATGAATTGGTGAAATATGCTAACTATGGGAGAGCCTTACCCATTCCGGCCGAGATGACCTCTAAATTTCAATGGGGTCTAAATGAGAAGATGTCTCGAAAGATGTCAAATTGTGACATCCGAGAGTTTAGTAGATTCGTGAACCAATGCCGGAAGGTGGAAGAAGTTTATGGTGTGCTGAAAAGTAAGAAGTCCTCCGAGGCACAAGCATCTGGTGCTAGTGGAGCAACTGGCTCTACTTCAGAAAAGGGTAAGAAGATGGATGACAGGAATATTAAAGAAAGATTACAAGCTAAACAATCTGAGGAAAAGTTTAAGAGAAGCGGGAGTCAACAGAGTTGGGACAATGAAAGACCTCTTGTGCCCCAGTGTGACAACTGTGGGAGGCATCACAAGGGCGTTTGTTTGATGGGTCAAAACGTATGTTTCAAGTATGCTAGACCTGGTCACTATGCGAGGGATTGTCCCCAGATCGTGGGACAAGTTGCTCATGTGCAAGTGGTCTCTGGTCTTCCAGCAGCGGCACATGTTAGCACTTCGACCCAACCCCAGCTAGAGAGGTTCCCATACTTGACGGGAGGTATGACGCATGTAGATTAATATGACATGCATAGTTTATTGAGGTTGGAGCCACACATGCTTAGACTGTGGACTCAATTATGATTGTGTGATTCGTTATGTCTAGTAATTAAAGACTAGACTATGTATTGATTGCTAAAAGATGGTAAGTTGTATGCAATGACCTTTCCATGGATGTAGTGGTAGTATTACCTCCATGAGGATAATATCCTATGAGATAGAGAATTCTCATTAAAGGTCTAGATTGAGGGGAACTTCCCTTGGAGTTAGCCTTCGGGACCTCCTTGTCAGATACCTAAGAGAAACAGCCCATAGTGGATCTCTCTTGGAAGTTCCATCAGATGAGATTTTATGTATGAGGTTATTAGTAGGACCGCAGAAGGTAGTGAATAGGTATGACCCTGGAGGAAAACGAAAGATAAAAGTGCTTGAACATATTAGTATCACCTAATTATAAAACATAGATTGAATCATGAATGAAACATTTCATCTTATGATAAGATGATGAGGAAAAGAGGAACTCATTAATAGGGTAACTTCGGGAACACAAGAAGAGTTCTCCGATAAATCCATAGATGATTGAATGAGTGGTTTTGTCGATTTTGAGGACAAAATCGTTAAAAAGGTGGGGTGAATATAATATCCCAAACTTAAGCATTTAATTGATTAATTTTAATTAAATAATTAAGCATGTTTTAGTGAGTAAAATTAAGTAAAAGACTTAATTAAATGAATCGGAGTCACTTAGAGTTAAAAAGTGTACTCAGTGAAAATTAAGGGGTATAAATGGGTACTGGCGAAAGTACCCAAAATATAAAAATAAAAATAGTAATATTCCTAGAATAATATTCCAGACTTTTGGGTAAAGTTTGGTAATTAATGGAGTTGAATAGATAGACGAACCAATACCCGCTTAAAGTCACTTAACCTATGTTAAGTGACTAAAGAACAAAGAAGAACCCATTTCCCCCCCCATTGCCCGTCGACAGCAAACAGAAAGGAGGAGAAGAGAAGAGAGGGAGAAGAGAGGAAGAAGGAGGGAAAACCTAGTGGGAGCAAATCCCAACCGTTTTGGGTGATTCAAAAGCCTAAACTACTCTAAATCTTCCCCTTTTTCATAATCCTAGCTTGGTTTTGAGTGGGAGTCCTTGTGGAGAGAGATATTGGTCCCCAAAGATTCGCCCCTTTTGAGAAGTGTGGGGTTTTGGGAGTTTCTACCTCCATGGAAGCTTGAGGAACACTCATTCCTCTATTGTGTGATCATTGGTGGTAAGTTTCCACTCTCTTTCACATGATTCTTGGAGATTTGCATGAGTTTAGGGTTAATGAATAGTGTTTTAGGGTTTTTATGAAATGTTGAGTAGATTGGCTATGTTCAAGGAAGAATGAGGCTTAGAGTATGTTGTGAAAAATGCTAGGAATGACATTTAATCGGTAGAAATGAGTTTATAGTGTTATTTTAGTATGCTTTGATGTTTGGAGAAATCTAGGCTTGGAACTATGGATTTCCTTGCATTGTTAGCATTGTTTGATTGTATTCCTTGTGTTGATAGGATTGAGGCAAGAGGACCAAGTGGAGTGACCAACCCTTGGGGTTGTGTGCAATTGAGGAAAGCTCAAAGAGCAAGGTAAACCTTTGGACCTTGTGGTTGATCCCATTGAGTGTTCCACCATACTCCGTTGAGGAGAAATGGTTTATGAGATGTGATATGTAATTATGATAGTGATTGTATGCTCATGCATTGATTCATGCATTGATACATGTTATGATTGATTGATGATTATTGGTTGATGTTTGATTGTTTAAGAGTAATTGAGGAATGATTATAGAAGTAGCAATAATGAATGAGGTAATGGTTGAGGATTGTGATTGAGGTTATGAGTGATAGTATTATGATGAGGATGATTGGTAGGAACTTCCCTTGGAAACAGCCCTATGTGGATCTCCATGTGGTTAGAGCCTAAGAGGAACACAGCCCTATGTGGATCCCTCCATGTGGTTAGAGCCTAAGAGGAACAGAGGTTCCTAGATTGAGGAAAGGACTTCCCTTGGAAACAGCCCTAGGTGGATCTCCATGTGGTAAGAGCCTAAGAGAAACAGCCCTTTGAGGATCTCTCTTGGAATAGATTGAGGAAAGGACTTCCCTTGGAAACAACCCTATGTGGATCTCCATGTGGTAAGAGCCTAAGAGAAACAGCCCATAGTGGATCTCTCTTGGAAGTCCATGTGATGCTTGTGGATAAGAATGTGTTAAGCTATTATGATTATGTGTACATCAAAGTGAACCTTAGGGTGGAGTGATCTCCAAGGACCTCTGGTTTACTGTGATATATTCGTATATCTCACCCCGTGTTGTGGGGCATCATTTCAGGTACTGATAGAGGTGAGGTTGATCGAGGCAAGAAGCGTGAGTAGACTGTACCTGATAGCTGGACATGTTGAGTTGCATGCCATTTAGCATTGCTATATGTATATTTTGATGCCACATGATGTATTTTGGAGGACTTAGTGCATGATCATTGTAGTAGTAATGGGTATCTGATACAGGGTTACTTGCTTTGATCATGTTCATTTTGTAGCTAAGTCCTTTGGCATGTATATGAGATTTGTAATTAAGACATGATGTAATATTGTAAGTAATGAAGATATTGGTGTATGATGCTTACTGTAAGTTAAATGCATGAATGTATTTTTATGTATTGGATATGTTGAGCTGGAAAGTCAATTAGGTACCTTGTGCTAAGTTGGGAAACGTTGAGAAAACAAAGGTTATGCTGCCTAATTTCCGTTAAATCAATGATGAGAGGATGAGAGTTAAGCAATGATATAGGGATATCACAAGCTTGTTAAATAGGTTGTAAAATGTGTAGGATTGATTCCCCAAGAAAGATGCATGAAAAATATGAGTATAGGAAATTGCCCAGAAGAGGGGGCTTAAGCCTGCAAATGGAGGCTTAAGCCTGCTCAGGGGGCTTAAGCGCCCAGGAGGGGGCTTAAGCGCCCTGATGCACCTGTGAAGACCAAAACTTTCTGTCGCCTGGGGCTTTAGCGCCCAAAATGGGGGCTTAAGCGCCCAGGTAGCGCGCTTAAGCGCCCTGGAGCGAGCTTAAGCGCCCTTGGTGGCTAAAAATGTAAATTCCCTCTGTCTGTGGGCGCTTAAGCGCCCTGGAGTGCGCTTAAGCGCCCTGCCCGCGTAGTTTTTCAGCATACACCTGAGTTAGTAAAATTGTCATAACTTGAGCTACAGAGCTCCAAATGAGGAGCGGTTTGAAACCACGCGTAGCTAACGAAGAGATCTACAATATAGTAGAAGTTGGGAAATAAATAAGAAGTAAATTAATGGTTTAAAAATGGAATAAGAACATGATGTTAAGCTTGGTTTATCTGATTCCGCAAGGTAATATGGTTATGATCACGCAATTGGCTATTTTAAATTCGGCGTCGTTTTAAAAAGAAAAACTTATCTGGATTTTAATTGAGCCAATGTGATTGTAACTGCGCTTAATATCATAATGCGATGTTAACAAACCGGTTCTAGAACGGGGCGTTACAAATATCGGGATTATAAAGGATTCAAACTTTCCTAGTCACACTAAAGGTACACTCAAACTTCAATAACAATGGTGGTTAGAAGATTCTTCTCTAAAGAGGCCTCACACTCGATCTTCTCTTAAGAGGATTTCACACTCTCAAAAATATCTCAGGTAATCTATTGCAAAAGGTTTCTTATGATTATAAAGGTGAAGAGAAATGTTACACCTTCTTCAAGAATCTTCATCAATAATGAGGTGGGTACATTCATTGAGGTGGTTGTTAAGATATTGGATCATGCGCCCATATATATGGTGCATGCTTAGCCACCAAAAAATGGAGATAAATATCCCAACAAATTGTTGGGTTAATATTGGATACTGATTTAAAAAGTATACATTTATATTACGTATGATTAAAAGTTTTCATTTTTGTGTGTGGCTAAAATACAACTTACCCCCTTAAACTTTGGTCATGCTTCAAATTACCACATTGTACTTTTAATTGTTTCAATTAACCCCTCATAGTTTATGATGATAACAAATTAACATATTTGTTAAAATTTTGTCTAACAGTGTTAATTTTTTTTTAACAATAGGACATTTTTAGCTCCTAAGGAGAAAGTACACTCATAAATACATGATAAATATCTGAATTCTGAACCACTTCTTCAGACGAAAAATAAAATGCACTTTAACAAATACTGATATATTAGGATACAATTTAAAAATAGTAATTGAACACGAAATGTTACTTAAGCTGAGCTTTAACTCCTGATTTCTTGAACCCTTCTGCAAATCTCCTTTGGTTTTCCTATGGAAAACTCAATTTCTTTGTTTTGAGCATCAAAGTTTGAACTTTTCTATTCTAGGGTGACCCGATCGGAATAGCAAGTCACCATTTTTTTATTTCCAAGCTCATCTTAAATGCCCAACATCTTGTTCTTGATGTTTAAGATTCATGTATCAAATTCTTAGTGAAATATTCTTTGGTAGGTGTATGATCAATTGCGATGTTAGACGCAGGACCCATTTAGTTCAACCCTTCTCAGTTGCTTTCCTTTATTGGCTCTACTATGTTTCATGATTTCTAACCCCCTCTTAGTTTCGGATTATTAAAGTATATCATCGCTATATATTATTACTATTATTATCTGCAATATTTTATGGTTGTGTTTAGTGTCTGGTTTCCTGCGAACAAGTGTCCATCTTCTTTGTTTAACTTTTGAATAATTGTAAGCTTGTATTGGTCTCTCTCTCTCTCTTACATGGCTTCCTCAAGTGGAACATCTTCAGGATAATCTCTTTTAGGTTTGAATGGGCTTTCAGGATCAAATGTGAGCTTTCTGGATTTTAGATAGAGAGGGAATAAAGGTATTCTACTATTGTTTATTTCTTTTAGGTTTTAGTAAATGGAGAAATTGTAAAGAACTATAAAGAACTACCTAAATGTTTTCAAAAACATAAGCAATGCAACGATTCAAACTTCCAAGGTTCCCTTAAAACTCCTAACCAGAATTTGAATGTAGAAGAGAAGGAGAAAAACTCTACACAAGAGTATCAAATGCAAATAAGGGAAGAGAATAAATTAAGGATTTAAGATTAATATTGTTAGTCAAATTTTAATAGATATGTTAATTTGTTTTTGTAACAAAGTACAAGGGGATTAATTAAAACAGTTTAAAGTATTAATTTAAAACATGATCAAAGTTAATGGGGGTATCTTGCATTTTACCCTCTCTTTTTTAACAAAAGTTTATATTGAGGAAAGTCACACCCTATGCATAATAGACATGAAGAAGAACACCCATTTCATTAGGATTTAAATGGCTAATGTACATGAAAGTCATGTATAGGATAGGCAAATAGTAATTAAGTCCCGATTTAGAATTAGTCTTATAAATAATTTAAAGAGTTGATACTTTTAAAAATATCCGAGATTGACTTGTCTCAAGGAGATAATTACGATCAGAATAAAAAAAAATTAGAATTCATTCCTTTATAATCTTATTCAACTGTAGAATGGGAATAGAATTTTCATTGCAGTTTATTAATTCATATTATTATTCTACATATCTTCGTTTTTTGCACCTACCGTTACCTAAAAGTGGGAGCATGTCTATTAGTCAAATACCTACTTGAACATTTGTCCATCACAAGACTCGATTAAATATAATCATTAAATTGACAAATCATATTGAATTATCTAGTCTCATATTTATATTTTTTGTCAATCAATTAATCATAAAGGGCAGTTTTGTATTTCTAGGAGGAAGATGTTCTCCCACAGTCCCACTACTAACTTAGCATAAACATAAGCAACTTATTCGCTGCCCTGTTTGGGAAACGGGGAAAAAGTATTTTAAAGCTAAGGTAAAAGTGCAAAATGTAGCTAGCATTATATAGCAGGTGGGTCCCCACACAAACTAAACAACTGGATGATAATTATATTCTCGACCTTCTAAAGTTAAAGATTTCTTTTCTCCTAGCCCACCTAATGACTTTATTATAAAAAAACTTCACCTCATATTTCATTCCGGAAACAGTTTAAATTAATGAAAACAAAATAAATATTCTGCAGCCAATCATGTAGTGCTATTATTTGTATGTTCTTTTCCTTCCTAGGACTAAATTGTTAACTATTATCTAAGAATTTTATAATGAGTTCGAATATTGAGAGTTATAATTTCTAAACAAGATGGAGAAATACAAATTTAAAATCAGATTAGTCAATTTCATTAGAACTTCGGACATAAGATGGTATAAAAAAAAAAAAAAAATGTTAACCGTTATAATAAAATTCGTGAATAGTCAAAGAAATTGAAAACTCAATGGCTCTGTTAATGTTATTTCATTGTCAAAGTGGGGATGAGATGTTTGATAATAAAAGTGGTATAGTAGTACACTCTATTTATTAATGACCACTGATGATGCGGTCAGACTCAATTTCTTCGTCCAACATCTTTGTGCGACTACTTGAATACTTATCAACGACACAGTGGGAAGCAAAGAGATTAGAGAAGATTAAAGAGAAGGATAATCGTGTGTGCAAACACGTCCACTATCATCTACTTCTCATGGCTTCCTAAGCATATACGTAAATTTCCATCATTCACACACCTTTCAACTAGCATCTAGTTGAGATCTTTGGGTCCCGTTGTGTATGTGGGACTAGTTTTGTCTGTGCTTGAGAACGCGTGTGAGACACAAGAGAAGCAAAAGGGAATGGACTCATTAATGGTCAACGAATTAGCATATTACTTGTTAAGAAACAAGTAAAAGGGTTTGAAATTATTGTATGAGAAGAAAGGACCCAATGATCAAATTTTTAAGTGTATAATTATGATATAACCTATTGCCATGTTTGACTAACATTGATGGTGAAGGTTATCAAAGGAGGGATTTCTAATTTTTTAATTTTTTGGAGCTTTTTCTTTTTGGTTCAACGAGTGTAGCCAAACGCTCACCCACTTCAGGATTCCCTCCCACTATTGTTATCTTTTAGTTCCTTTCTCCTCCCCTAAAAAGGGGAGGTTTCTATAATTATATAGCTTTTCTTTCAGGAAAAAAGCTTAAAAAACCATCAACTACGCATTTATGGGAATGCAAGGATTGCTAGTGCTCCTAGGCTCTATATATGGGGCAACTTAGGGAGGCTTTTTATGTGAGCAGGCGGGGGTGTTTGAACTGCCCTTTTTCATGATTGTGATTGTGATTTTGATTTGTGAATTTTCCTTCTTCAACTTAATATGTGACTCTATGATGAGAAGATGCCATATGTCGCCAAAACCAATGGTTGCCACCGAATGGTGCTGATGCACTAGGAGGTGCTACAGTTAGCATTTAGCAGTGTCACATTTTAATAGATGACACTCCAGTTGATTTTCATGAGGGACCCAACGGTTCTTGGCAATTAAACTTTCGTCTATACAATATTACTTTTTTACGTGTCTCAAATATTGGCCATTTTACATTTTCAGGATTCAGGACAACTGCTTTTAGATAATTGTCCCTTTGAAAACCTAAAATCTTGCAATTTAGTTTAGACCCATCAAAGTTGTTATTTTAGGGACTTGAATTTCACTTCAAAATTTGACGGATCAGTTGACATGGAGGAGCAACCAGCTGTTCCAGCACATACAGAAAAAGTGGGTATTAAGTGGACTAAGACTGCTACCCCAATATAATGCACAGTTCAAGTATCCACCACATATACAAATGCACAGTTCAAGTATTTGAGGGGATATTAATGGTTTTCGCTAGAGGTACACTAGTCCAATGTGTATATTTTCTTAGCCGACAGTATCACGGACCAATGAAAAAAACTTGAATTTTTCAGCGGCTATCTCTCTTTCTTTTCTTTTTTTTAAGGTGGAGCCCTGCAATTGTTTTCTATTACAAAATTCAGAACTACCCAAAAAAAAAAGGCAGCAGCTTGCTTTTTTCGCCCACACCTTCTGCCTATCCATCTCTGTTTTTAAGTTGGTTCATTTGCTTGCTTGGTTTGGCAATCAGTACGATGTACAAACCTGCTCCATTTACTTAATGGATCCACAATTTGCTCAGAAGGTTTTGGCACTTTAATGTGCAGAACCTTTGAACACAATACATATTCGGGTAGGGAATAGGCCCACGCTATGGATTGTAAAGTCTTTAGTGCACTCATTTACAGCACTGTGGCTTGATGGCCTTTAACTGTAAAGGCGGCGGCGGCCGGTGTATTCTCAATAACAACTTTATGCAGTTACGGCAAAAGTTAGATACTGAAGAGTTATGACAGAAGAAGCCGAAATTCAGAGGAGCTGGAAAAGTGGTTTCAAGTGTCCTAGCTGTCACTCAACCTTTAAAAATGGGATGAAAATGACAGTATGCCTGTAATGGAAAAAGTGAGAAAAACCAAGCTTTTCGAAGTGAAATTATTATTTATCTAATTACTAAAAACGACAATTAAGAAACAAAATCTTTTATTTCCCCACAACTTCGATTTCATAAAAGCTTGAAATGGATTCATCTTGCTCAAGAACTTGAAATGTTATACCCAGGTGGTATTTACAGCCAAAGACAAGCCCCACAGACTCTTGACATCAAATTGTCTCAAATCAGTTTCCTCGAGCTTCTATCTCTTTATATCCAGAAAAAAGAATATGACAAATTGGTAAGATATAAAGCTATCTTCAGCTATCCAACATTTCCTGGTAATTTGGGGCAAAAAGAATCATTGGAACAACTTGTCTCATTAGCATACCAGATTGCACAAATCATTAATCCTTGCCCGAGAGATGTTGGTAAAAGGAAAGACCCTGAAGTTGCCATTCCCCAAACAGGTCATTGTCAGCTGAGCATTACTCACCATTGTCTGCAGTTGTGGCACATAACCAACATTAGCATAAAGCATTGCGCTTCAGGAATTAATAACTTCCTGTAAACTTAATAGAGGGCATGCCCGGTGACTTCTATATTTAACAATGGTGTACTGATAAATATTAAATAGCTAGGTAATTGCCAAAACATTTTGTGTGGAAAGGAAGTTGAAATACTTCAACTACCTAGTTGCCGAAACAGGTAAACTTAGATAAGAAAAAGTTCAACTGAGCACATCTATGTTAGTATGCTGGCATTCCGTCTTGGCTTAATTCTATTTAACTTTTTTTAGAATATGTGATTACCTAGCAGTTCATGGTAACAAACTAACAATTGACTTCTCTTCACAGTAAAAATTGGTAAATAGTGCCAAACTTACCGTGAAGTTCCGTTTATAAGAATTCATATGTGCCATAGGTATATTTTTCATACAGTTGTAAAAGAGAATTCTTCTTTGTGATAGATATTTTGTTAGGCATTTTTAATTTGGGAAATGCCAAAAGTAAGCTGTATACCTCACAAGAGGCTTCTATGTCTTTGCAGTGCCAGCTTGTAAAAGGTATACAATCAACATACGGACACCATGTGCAATAACTGTTGATGTTGATTCCATAAAGAATTGCCACAAGACAACCAGCCAATCTGCAAAGAGAAGAAGCTTCTTATCTAAGATTTGAAGCATGCAAAAAAGCACTAGTGATAGACGACAGCTAGCAATGCAAATTAAATAGAAAAAAAGAGAGAGGTAAAAACAACATACAATAGGCTGAAGAGGATAAGAGAAACAATCCTGAGAACTGGTCTGTCCAGCTTTTGCTTCAACTTTAACTTGATGTAACTTTTGAAACCATAATCAATTACACCTCCTTTATTCGGAGCTACTTGTTGGAGCTGAGGGCTGACTAAAAGAACAGATCCAAGAAGGAATCCTGATATAAAACCTCCAATGCTTGAAAAATTGTCTACGTAAGGTAGAAAACCAAGGACGAAATTGCACACAAAGACAACGACTAATGATGCTATTGCTGAAATCTGCACCCAACCAATAAAAAGGATCGATACCCAAGCAAATCAATGAGAAAAGAAAATGAGGGGAAGAAGAAGCACCTTATTGACACGAAATTTCCAGTTCCAAACAAGTTCGGAAAGTAATGTTCCCAGTAATCCATATAAAGCACCGGAAGAACCAACAGCTGGGGTGTTTTGGAGAAAAAGAGAAGCCACCAAGGCACCCAAAAAAGCAGACAGTGTATAGATTATACCAATCCTTACTGCAAATAAAATGAAGCGTTCATAAATTTTGAACATTATCAAAGCATTTCAATATCATTTTCTGTATCAATTTAATCAAAATAAACACTAGAAATGGAAATCTGAAACCCAAAAGTTAATTAAAAAAAATTACGTGGTCCAAACTCCTGCTCTAGGTGAATTCCAACATAGATCACACTGCAGAGATTGACGACAAGGTGGAACAGTCCAGCATGCAAAAATGGAAATGTGAAAAGACGCCAAGTCTGATGATATTCTGTCAAAAAGGTTTTTCTAAGAGCTCCCATTTCATCTAACCTGCAGTAAATATAACACCCTTAGCCATCATTTTGTAACGAATAAACAAAGTTATCTATCACACCAAATAAACAAGCAGTGATCATTTCCTTCAAACCACAAACTATCAAAACCTATATCTTAGAATATATCCATACAATTCCAACATGCTAACAATAATTTCTCAAACCGCCAAGCTTGAATAGTTAATTAATTGCTTTTAGTTACCGATTCGCTGTGAAACCTAAATTAGACAATAAACAGAGCAGCGTGTAGTGCAGTGAGTGAAAAGTAAGGATAGGATAGAACAGAATCAAGAAAGTGAAAAGAAACGGTTTCTCTCACTTGGACTGGGAAGGACCTAAGAGGGGATTCTCGGAGAGAGGCTGAAACGAGAACCTTCCGAGAGCTTGGAGAGCACAATCACCGTGAGAATTGGTCCAACAGTCATTAACAAGCATCGTTGCTATGAAAACCCCAATCTGGATTATTACGAACACTGAAACCACCCATGTATCGCCTCGTCTAGATTTCACCAACGGAATCCTCTTATCAGATGCAGGAGACAGCTTTAAGTCAACGAATTCCGAACTTTCCGCCATGGATTTTCCACGAAAATTCAAGATTCTATCTCCAAGGCAGAGCGAGAGAGATAGAAAGAGAAAGAGATAGTGGAAATAGTTGGTTATTTTAGTTGAATTTGGCGGGAATTCTTGTTTTGTTTATTGTTTTATTTTATCATAAAGTATAAATTAAATAAACATGAAATTCCACAACCGGATCCGTGGCGCAATGGTAGCGCGTCTGACTCCAGATCAGAAGGTTGCGTGTTCGATTCACGTCGGGTTCAAAATCCCGATCCGTAAAGCTACCAACGGATCAATTTTTATCCTTCGGTTCCGTTACGTTGTTCTTTCTTATTTTGGGCCTGTATTGACGTGGCGTTTGGACTCGACTCCCTTATAATTGGGCTTATAAATGGGCTGTGTTACTACACATGATTTTACGGTCTTGCGCTGCTGCGCCGACTTTTTTTTATGTTTCTAAAATACAACAAACAAATTCTAAAATTGCATTAATTTACCTATATTATTATCCTATATATCTATATCGTCTATGCTATTATAAAATGAATTTGTTCATTTTATCACATTTTTTTAAAATATTATCATTCAATTAAACTATGATACAATATATTACAGAAATTACAAAAATAATTATTTTACCATTATAATTGCCTTTAGATATTCTTGAATGCATTGACATGTCAAAGAAATATAGTTTTTTTTTTAATTTGTAATTATTTTTTCACTATTACATAAAAATTAAAAAAAAAAATACAATGGATGAGCAGTAAACATTAGTTTATTGATAAAGCAAAATCTAATGTAGATTTATATTTTCATATATTAATACAAAATTTAAAATAATTATTAACTAAACCTTTTCGTTATTGGATATTTTTATTACTATTCCATGATATTAATTATTTTTTCGTTTCTTCATTATATGATTGATGATAAATATTCTGTATTGAATTTTCTAAAATATAAAAATAAATCTATTGCAAGCATATCGACTTTTAAATTATGAAATCAATCATTATATATATTTATCCAACTCTTATAATATCACGGTGTTTTTATAATTTTAATTTATTTTAATATTATTATAGTCTTTATAATTATAAATTTTTAATCTTTTAATTTCAAAACGACGTCGTTTTAGAAGTAAATGTAGATAACTTATCTACATTAACTGCAGAAATATTTATATATACATACATATATATATATATATATATATATATATATATAGGTTTAGTGTTTGTCATTTTAAATGACATAAGTTATGTCATTTTAGAAGAGATACAGACACAGAAAAATGGAAATCATGTGAGAGAGAAAGTAGGTGATTTTTTTTAATTTAAAATTCAAATTTTTTGTGTCTGTATCTCTCTTAAAATGACATAACTTTCTGTCATTTAAAATGACAAATACTTTTTCATATATATATATATATATATATATGGAAACTTCACAACTAGGATGACAATGTAATTAAGTGTTCGTTTGGATGAAAAAAAAATAAAAGTTTTAAAAAAGGAAAAAATCTTAAGCCAAAATTTTAGCTTAAGTTAAAACTCATATATTTTTTTCAAAATCAAATTTTTTATTTTATTTTTTTGTAAAAAGTACTTAATTTCTAAAATAATTAAGGAAAAAAAAATTTGGGCTTATCATTTCTAGATAATTTTATCTTCAGCTATTAAACCATAACCGTACAAAGATAGATCAATGATGATATAGGAAGAAAGAGAAAAAAAAAATTATAACAATTCAAAATTGAATTAATTAATATAAAAAATAAATAAATAAAATGACGTAATTTTGTAATAACCGAAGATAAATATATCTTGAAACAGCTTGAGAAATATATATATATATATATTTTTTTTTTCGAACGGCGGGAATTATATATATATATATATATATATAGTTACTAAGATTGACACATGTAGTTAGAAACATTAATTTGGGTAATGTACGACCTTAGAAAACTAATAATCCTGCCCGTCTCGTCGGCTATTCAAATTTCAATCTTCTCCTTTGGTAGCGTAGCGGTTTTAATAACTGTACACGTGCTTGCTCATTTTCTCTGAACTAGCTTAGAAAATGAAATCAATCACCGATTGTTTCAAATCAAAATTCGAATTTGTAACTACCAGATTAGGATCTACCACTTACGGAGATTGATTCCCACTCAAACGCTACTACTACCTTTGCCTAAACAACTCTATAAATACCCAAACGCTCCTCAAAGGTACATACATACATACATCCAACACTGAGTTAGGGTTCTCTTCCATTTGGATTTTGCGCTTATTCCGATTTCGTGAGAGGTGAATTTTGAGTTCATCATATTATTTCCTTATTTAATTTTGGTTCAATTTAACTTTCTTTTTTGGATGATGAGTTGTTTGCATGCAATTTTTATGTAGGCGATTTTGATGGATAAATTAAACGGATTGGAAGCTCCTATTGAAACACAAGTCAAAGCCTTTTTTGACTCTGCTCCTCCTTGGCATTGCAGTCATGAAGTAACTCTAAAATTGAATCAATTCATTGAACGGAATTCTTCCCCATCAGGCTAGTTGATTCCTTACAAACATTGAATTATGCATTTTCATTTAATATTATTATTTATTTTTTGTGATGCTTCCCTGATGAATTTTTAAATAATGTGTTGTGGATTTTGGTCCCTCAGCTAATGGGGAAGCTAAGAGAATTGTTTGTGTGACGTCTGGTGGTACCACTGCTCCATTGGAGCAACGGTGTGTCCGCTATGTTGACAACTTCAGTTCAGGTCACAGAGGGGCCACATCCACAGAGTATGTTGCATTCATCTTGTTCTTTTTTTTTTTTTTTTAAAAAAGGAAAAGAAAAGAAAAAGCTTTTGTTATTCTTTATTTAAATTTCTTGAGAAGAATAGGTTGCTGGTTGTGTTTTAGGTATTTTCTGAAGGCTGGATATGCTGTTATCTTTCTGTACCGGAGGTGACGTAGACTTTTCTTATTGTTTTATATGTTGGTGTGGACTCTTTTAGGTTTGTTGATTAACAATAAATATTTATGCAGGGGAAGTTTCCAGCCATTTTCCAGATCCCTTCCTGACGATCCCTTACTTGAATGCTTCGAGCCCACCAAGGATTCAAACTTTCAAGGTTTGTAGTTTTTGTTTTTTTTCCTCTTCTCTTGCCATAAAATGATAAATAAACTAATACCTATAATCCTATGAGCAATCTTGCACATTATATATAACATTTGCAATGCACTTGGTATCATGATGGACTGAAATACTTGACAATGCATGTTATTAATTGTATGGAGTGGTGGTGTTAAGTTTCTCTGGAGCAAATTTTTTCTAGATGAGTCTATCTCTTAATTATGATCCATTAGAGGCTACCATAAGTGCACCTATATAATTTCTTCAAAAATTGTGCTTTCCTAGTCCTTGGATGAATGCTACTCAAAGATTTATACTTCATTTGTTATTTTGTGACTATTTACTTAGTATGCCTACTTCATTTCTTCCTTGTATTGCTATTTTATACAAACAACTGTGGTTGTCTTGATTTTTGCCGAATTCTGTTCAATGGTTCAGTTTGCGAGGCTTATTCTGAAGCAGTGAAGAGGGTCATCGTGGATCATCATACTGTATGATCTGTGGATTGGGTTTTGTGATTTAAATGTCTTTTTTTTTTCTGTGATTTCCTTGTCTCTTTTAATTAATGGTTCATCAGCTTTACATTATTTAGATATACTTGTAGCCTCATTGGGGTTTTTTTCATTCTACTGCAGGCAGTGGCAGGTGGTTACATGTTGAAACTTCCTTTCAGCACCATATTTGAGTATCTCCAGGTTAGTTTTAGTCATGTTTGTAAAGTGTATGTATCCATTAGATGCAACAAATAATGAAATCTCTTGTATGGTGTATATTCTCATTCTCTGTCTGTCAGGGTGTTTACTGGCAATCAACCATGGAGTTTGATTGAATTATTGCCTTTTGATTTTCATGTGTTCGTCAGATTGCAAGATAGAGCCACTTCTTGTTTTATTGTATTGAAAAGAAGTTTCTGTATATATTGATTTTGAATAATTTACATGAGTGAGTATTTATACAAGAAAGAATCGCTAAGAATGACTAAGCGATGACTAAGCGATGACTAATCAATCCTAATCACAATCAATTCTAATCAATCACAATCAATCCTAATCAATCATAATCAATCCTAATTAATAGGAAATAAAAACGGAAACATGTTTGGATTCTGATTTTCTACACTCCCCCTCAAGTTGGGAGGTAAATATTGATCATTCCCAACTTGCCAATCAAGTCTTCGAATGCTGGACGGTGTAGGCCCTTGGTAAGGATATCTGCCGTTTGCTCTTTGGTTGGAACATATATCAAACGCACACTTCCATCATTTAATTTTTCTTTGATGAAGTGACGATCAACTTCCACGTGCTTTGTTCGATCATGATGCACAGGATTTTGAGCAATGCTAACAGCTGCCTTGTTGTCACAATATAGTTTTATTGGTAGGGAATATGAAATCTTCAACTCTTGAAGAAGTCTTCTCAACCAGATTCCTTCACAAACTCCATGAGATAAAGCTCGAAATTCTGCTTCAGCACTACTTCTTGCAACCACTGTTTGCTTTTTGCTTCTCCAAGTAACAAGATTTCCCCACACATAGGTGCAATAGCCTGAGGTAGATCTCCTGTCTACTGATGAGCCTGCCCAATCTGCATCAGTGTAGATTTCAATTGTCCTTTTATACCCCTTTTTAAAGAATAATCCTCTTCCTGGAGTATTCTTGAGGTATCTAAGCACCCTATAGACTGCACTAAGATGCTTCTCCTTGGGTGAGTGCATGAATTGACTAATCATACTCACCGCAAAGGCAATGTCAGGACGCGTATGAGATAAGTAGATTAGTTTACCAACCAATCGCTGATATTGTTCTTTATCCACCTCATTCCCATCTTCAATACCTAACTTGGTATTAGGTTCCACAGGTGTCTCAGCAGGTTTACACCCTAACATTCCTGTTTCCAACAAAAGATCTAGAACATATTTTTTTTGTGTTAGAGTGATGCCTGTTTTGCTTCTAGCAACTTCCATACCAAGGAAATATTTGAGAGTGCCAAGGTCTTTGAGTTCAAATTGAGCTGCTAGAAATTTCTTCAAGGTGTTCAATTCCTCAATATCATCACCTGTAAGAATTATATCATCTACGTATACAATAAGAATAGCAATTTTACCATCCTTAGAGTGTTTGTGGAAGAGAGTATGATCAGTCTGTGCTTGAATGAAGCCTCTTCTTTTGACTGCTTGTGTGAATTTGTCGAACCATTCTCTGGGAGACTGTTTCAATCCATATAGAGACTTTTTTAGTTTACACACTGATCCATTTCCCTTTTCAAAACCAGGTGGAGGATCCATATAGACTTCTTCATGTAAGTCACCATTTAGGAATGCATTCTTCACATCTAACTGTTGCAGAGGCCAATCTAGATTGGCAGCAAGAGATAAGAGAACTCGGATGGTATTGACTTTAGCAACCGGAGCAAAAGTCTCATGATAATCTATCCCATGAGTCTGAGTGAAACCCTTTGCAACCAATCTTGCCTTGTATCTGTTGATGCTATTATCTGCATTGAATTTTATTGTAAACACCCATTTGCATCCTACTGCCTGCTTTCCTTTGGGTAGGGTCACTATCTCCCAAGTTCCATTTCTTTTTAAAGCATTCATTTCTTCAAAGACAGCATCCCTCCATTTTTTATCATTGAGAGCCTCATGTATATTTCTCGGTATCTTTGTACTATCCAACATAGTATTGAAAGCACGAAACCCTGGGGACAACTTTCCATATGAAATATGATTAGAAATAGGATGAGTAGTACAAGATCGAGTACCTTTTCTGAGAGCAATGGGCAAGTGTAGATCATTTTCACCATGACACTCAAGTATTGGGGTGCTGGAACTAGAACATGGTTCAGAATCCTGGCAGTGTAGAGGCTCTGGGTTATTCACACTTTGAGGAGGCTTTCGCCTGCTATAAACTTGTCCCCATTTTGAGAAGGCTCCTGATGGTGAGGATTCTGTAGCTCCCCCTGTTTCCAAAATTAGAGGTAATACCGTGGCATCAGTAGGTTCCCATGACTGATCTTCATCTACTCCTATCTCCCCCTGAAGAGAAGTCGAGGGGAAGAAAGGGTCATTTTCAGAAAAAGTGACATCCATAGAGACAAAGACCTTACGAAGAGAGGGTGAATAACATTTATAGCCACGTTGAGTAGGAGAATAACCAATAAAGACACACTGGAGAGACTTAGGATCAAGCTTAGACCGTTGATGGGAGGGAATATGGACAAATGCAACGCAACCAAATAACTTGAGAGGTAAGGAGGAGACACCTCGGAAGGAAGGGCAGATACGAACAAGACTAGAAAGAGGAGACTGAAATTTCAGAATGCGAGATGGCATTCGATTTATCAGATACGAGGCAGTGAGAACTGCCTCTCCCCAAAGATATTTAGGAACACTCGTGGTAAACATAAGAGCCCGAGCAACTTCAAGGAGATGTCGGTTTTTTCTTTCCGCAACTCCGTTTTGTTGGGGTGTGTCAGGACACGAGCTTTGGTGAAGGATGCCATGTTGGGAAAGATATTCTCCAAGAATAGAGTTAAAATACTCTTTGCCATTATCTGTACGAAGAATTTGTATAGCAACTTGGAATTGGGTTTGAACCATGGCATGAAATTTTTTAAACACGGATGCAGCATCGGAATTATCGTTTAGAAGATACACCCAACAGACTCGAGAATGGTCATCAATGAAGGTAATGAACCATCGAGTACCTGAAATATTTTTAACACGGGCTGGACCCCATATGTCACTATGAATTAAGGAAAATGGGGAAGAGTCATGGTGAACTTTAGAAGGATAATGAGCACGAGTATGCTTGGCAAGTTGACAAATATCACAAGAAAACAAACTTGGACTTTTATGAATAAATAAGTTTGGCAACAACTTCTGAAGATAAATAAAATTTGGATGGCCTAGCCTACGATGCCACATCATAACATCATTACATGAATCAAAAGGAAACATAGAATTTTTTTCTACGAAAACAGCTTCATGAGTCACATCCTCCTCAAAGTAGTAAAGTCCACCATCCTCTCTAGCACTGCCAATCATCCTCTCGGAGTCCTGTTCCTGAAAAACACAACCATGTGGAAAGAATTTAGCAAAGCAATGCAACTCAGAGGTGAGCTTGCTAATAGAAATGAGATTACAAGTCAGAGAAGGAACATAAAGAAATGATGTCAAAGTAATCAGCTCAGAAAGTTTAATGGTTCCATGTCCCGCAATCTGGGAAAAACTGCCATCGGCGATCTTGACCCGAGAAGGTTCAGAATATGGAGTGTATGAACAAAACAAGCCAAGATTACATGTCATATGATCAGAGGCTCCAGAATCAAGGATCCAATGATTTTGACTATCAACATGGAAAGTTGTACCTTGCTGGACCACATGACTAGTGGCCTTAGGAGGTTGAGTCAAAAGTCTCTGAAGTTGTTCAAACTTAGTCTTGCTAAGAAAGACACCATTAGAGTAGGAGGAAGAGTGTTTTGAGGAAGCCATGAATAGAAAGAGAAGGGTTGACCGTTGATGAAAAATCAAGTTTTGTAAATTTTTGATCTGACCTCTGGAACAGGAAGGGGAGAAGCCGGCGAGAAGGTCTGTGCAAGTCGCGGCGGAAAAAGACGTTGGGAAGGCGGCGCGTGGAGCTCACGCGCCGGAAACTGGCCGCGCGTGTGACGGCGCGTGGCGGCGGTTGACGGCGATGGGTCCAGCGGCGGTCGACTCGTCGGATCCTTCTGAGTCGAATGGTCACCTCACTTTCTTGATCGGAGATCAGTAGACTAGGTTTCTGTGTTGGACAGATTCAAGGAGGTGTTTGACGGTGATGAAAGTGTTTGGATGGTTATTTCAGATTTGAATTATGGTAGGAACGAACCCGCTCTTGATACCATATTGAAAAGAAGTTTCTGTATATATTGATTTTGAATAATTTACATGAGTGAGTATTTATACAAGAGAGAATCGCTAAGAATGACTAAGCGATGACTAATCAATCCTAATCACAATCAATTCTAATCATTCACAATCAATCCTAATCAATCATAATCAATCCTAATTAATAGGAAATAAAAACGGAAACATGTTTGGATTCTGATTTTCTACATATTGTAACTTTTAATTCTAGGTGTTTAATCAGTAGATTTGTTATTGCTAAATAGTCATTGCTGATTGCCTTTTGTTTTTGCAGATGTTGCAAATGGTTGCAATCTCAATGAGGTGTATTGGCCCGCATGCGATGTTCTATCTTGCTGCTGCTGTATCTGACTATTATCTTCCTTGGAAAGACATGGTATAAATATGACACGTTAATTATTCATTCCATGAAAGTTTTAATGCCTTACTGGTTATGATCTTGATTTAAGTGATTCCGTAATTGGTTAAGGGCATAGTTATCAAATGCGGATTGCGGCATGTCGCGGCCAACCCCAAAAAACGCTATAGCGTTATAGCGGGTTGCGGTTGCGGAAATAGCGGAATAGATATATGACAAAAATAATGACAAAAAGAAACATTTTTCAAAGGCAGAGATAGCAGAAGTGATAGAGAGAGACGCGGATAGACTAAAAAACCCTTAAATTTTTTCTATTACACATTTAAATTTAGGACAAAATTGATATTTTGCCTTATGACAGCAATATGGCCACAAAGCCCATACGGCGCGGTGTCTTGCGGCGAGGCACCGCAACGCCCATACGGCGCGGCTCGCGGCGCTATTGTAGCGCAATTAACTACTATGGTTAAGGGACAATAGATTTATTATTCCACGAAGAATTCTGCACTGCTGCTTGCACGAAGATAAAATTTGTGTAGTGAAACGTCACAAAACTTTACTGGTCATGCTTCAATTTCAGTAAGGCATGGAATTTGAGTAGTGGCTGTACACTATTCGTACAACTTGTAAGGCCCTTGCCAAACCCTAGAACTGGAAGGACTTTCTAGGCTAAAACCATTCTAGAAGTATGTGGAACTTTAAAACTCCCATGGCTGTAGATTGATAAGTGCATCAAAGATGTCAAGATAGGCAGACATACATTTATGGAACAATAAAAAGAGTGGGGATATTCTAACTACCAAAAACTCTCACTACTAACTTACTACTCATCACATCACCATTGGATCAAAGAGAGAGAATGTTAAAAAGTTTTTAAAGAGAGAGAAAATGTTAATCTAATGGTGATTAGATAAGTACTAAGTTAGTAGTGAAAAATTTTGGTAGTTAGAATATCCCTCCTCCAATAAAAATTGTTTACATATGGTTGATTATTAACAAAAAGTTGCACTATAGTGCTAGGAGGTTGGAATTATAACATTTCAATGATAAGATTTACTTAAGTTGGAAATGTCAACTTGTTGTGTATTAATCCTGCAGGTAGAGCACAAAATTCAGTCAGGATCTCACCTTTTGGATGTGAAACTAGTTCAAGTGCCAAAAATGTTGTCAGTGCTCAGGAAAGATTGGGCTCCCTTGGCTTTCTGCATATCTTTCAAGGTATTGATGGTATTTGGAAATATAAGACTTAAAAAAAATCTATATGGATCTATACCATTTCACAAATACTAAACTGCAGTTATTACCAATTAAAATAGCAAAAATGTCTTCATATGGGAAGTTGAGAGTTTTGCCTCAAAAAACATGGGTGAAAATAAGTTTAGTCTAACCCCACATGTAATGATGCCTCGCAAATCAGCAAGTCTCATATCTGCAGTAATAGAAGAATAGACTAACATAATTAATACTAATTTTCTAAAGGAACTTCATTATCTATGTTTTTTCTGCTTAGGATATGTAGAAATAAAAATGAACCTTTTGAGATATAAAATATGATCCCCTGTGAGGATCAAAAGACCCCACTTAATACTGATCAAGTATTCAAGTTAGCGAGGTTATTTTTCTGTTTTTCAACAACAGACATCCAAACTTAGAATAAAATTATATATAAATACCTTGACACATTGAAACTGGCTTGACTAAGATTTACCTTCCCTCCTTGACTGACAGTTAGAGACAGATTCAAACATTCTTCTAAATAAGGCTGTTACAGCTCTTGAAAAGTACAAGATGCATGCAGTTGTTGCAAATGAACTCTCAAATCGCAAGGAGCAAGTGGTGGTTGTCACTAGTGCTGAGAAGATTACTGTTCAGCGAGATAAGAGTCAGCCTCTTAATGACGTAGAGAATCCCCTGATTAACCTTCTTTCGGAGAGACATACCATTTACATTAAGGATTCGGTAGATGAGTCTAGGGAATGACTTTGGCTCCTACTTGAGAATGAATCCTCCTCTCATATTCAATTTTAACATAATCTCAGTAGTTCAATTATAGATCAATAGTCAGCAATTAATTTAAAGGTTTTTTTTTTTTACAAGTTTTATCACCAAAATTATTAATTTAAAGATTTTGTCTTTTTTGTTTTACAAGTTTTATTACTAAAATTATGACCGTGGATTTATCATTGAATAGTTGAGATTTATTAGATGACATGACTTCAGCAAATGTATTAACTTTGCATGGTATTTTTGTGATTCTTCTCATTGCCGATTGGGCTCCCTCTTTTGGCATAATTGATAATATTGAAGTTAAATGTGTGTAGTGAAACATTTGGTTCAATTTTTGTATTTTCCGGTTAAGACCAAAGAGATTTTTATTACTGAATTAATCATTGGATGCAGAGTCAGTGAATACAAATGTTTTCGGGTTGTTAAGGGCTTAAGGCTAAGTAAGTTATTTGTCATTTGTATTTAAATGACAAATTTTATTTTTAAAGCAAGTGGTGTTATTGTTATTGCAACTAACACCACCACTGAGTCGAAAAGTTGGATGTTTAGGTATTTTAACATGAGCTATTGGAAATGGTAGTTGTGGAATCAATTGACATAATCACTAAGCCAGAATTTCGGTTCAAGTGATGGTCATCAGAAATAATGGGTAGTGTTATCTTAATTAATCGACCTTGATACTATCAAATTAAAATTTTTTGGTATAAATTTACGCACAATTTAATAGCTGTGTGGACTCATTTTATCTCATTTTCCTTATTATTTCTCGAATAGTTCAAAACATATGCACGTGCTATTTTCAATAGCGAAAGGAGGCAGATTCTATGGGTCGCGGATTGGTTTACATGAAGTTTGAGAAAAACATTTGTTCCTTGAATCACGATTCTTGAAAATATGTTGGGAAAATAAATTTCTCAAAAATATTATTATAAAGTTATTTGGTGGGCCAAAATATTCACATGAATGTTGCTCAAATTTTCTGATTCTATGTTCGGTTGATTGTCAATGACTCCTAGGAATTTGGGTTTATTTTACAAAATTAACATTTGATAAATTTTTAAAAACAATTTCTAATATGCCACAAAAGGGTCACCGGAGCGAAACAGCGTGAAGCAGAAAATATTATAGCTAGGGATTTAACAAGAGAGAGTATTTTAGTCATGAAAATAATAAAGTAAGGTTATTTATATGAGGATGGTTATACTTACAACCTATTTTTATTTACAATCTTTTACAACCATAATCTTAACTGTTGATTTTTGTCAATCGACGGATATTATTTATTGTGAATTAATAATTAATTAATAAATTTAATTTGCGAAAATAATAACCGTTGATTGACGGAAATCAACAGTTAAGATTATGGTTATAAAAAGTTGTAAACAAAAATAGGTTGTAAATCTAACCTTCCTCTATTTATATTATATAAATTATGTAAAAATTTCTCACCAGGTGATAATCCAAAAACACCATCCACCTGATAATATTATTTCATGGGATCCTTATTAACAATTTTAATTCCCAAGAATTTCATTTTCCTAGAAATTTTTTAAGAATCCATATACCAAACGTAGGTAACTAAGATTCTCAACGTGAGTTTCCTAAAAATCTAAAATTTATCTTTTTACAGAATGATACTTTACAGTCTATCGGTACGAGGGATTCGACGAAAAAGAAAAACATAAATCAAGTGGACAAGTCTTTCACCTTCTCATTTTCTTGCCTTCGAATCCCCCTTCCAAAATACATTAACCTTGCAAGTTAGCACAATTTTTAGAGGTTAACTCTACTTACTCTAATAAAGAAAGTACTATCAGAATTTGATCATGAAAGGAAAATGAGAGAAAATGAGAGAAAGTGAGAGAAACTAGAGTGAGAGATCTGAGAAATAATCTTTCTTATTAGCACAAAGTTCAGAAAATGAATCATTACAAGAGAAAGAATAGGGAACATTATATATAGACTAGAGCTAACTGAATTGCTGACTCAGCAATTCTAACAATTTAATAATTGTCCTATAACAAACTAACAGCTGGTACAACTTGTACAAAAGTAGGAGATCAGCTAAGTCTGGTACAAACAAGATAAGTTACAACCAGAGAATTAATATCTAATTAATATCCAATACTCCCCCTCAAGCTTAGCAGTGTTGGAGAGGTGGAACAGAATCCAAGACTCCGAGCTTGGTTCGGAAATCAGCAAAGAAGGCTGAAGGGAAAGGCTTGGTAAATGTATCTGCCAATTGATTCATGGCAGGTATATGCGATACTTGTATATCCTTAGCTACAAACTTTTCACGAAGAAAATGTAAATCCAACTCAAGATGCTTGGTGCGAGCATGTAAAATTGGATTATGTGCTATAGCTACAGCACTGAGGTTGTCACACAGAATGTGAGGAATAGAAAGGGACAACTGCAACTCCTGAAAAAGAGACTTGATCCACAATATTTCTGCACATACTAGAGCCATGCTTTTGTATTCAGCTTCAGCAGTGGACCTGGCTACAAGAGACTACTTTTTGGACCACCAAGATATGAGATTGGATCCCAAAAAGATACAGGCACCAGAGGTTGACCTTCGATCATCAGGATCACTCCCCTAATCAGCATCACAGAAAGCTGTAAGAGGAAAGGAGCCAGAGACATATTGGACTGGCTGAAAGTGAAGTCCAAAGGTAATAGTGCCTTGAAGATATCTCAAAATACGTTTGACTGCCTTCCAATATTATACCAAAGGTTGACTCATAAATTGACAAACCTTGTTCACAGAAAATGAGATTTCTAGCCTTGTGATTGTAGCATACTGCAAAACACCAACAACTGATCTAACAGATGGAGATCTTCGAAAAAATTGGAGCCAAACTTTGTGAGCTTGCTACTGGAAGGCATAGGTGTGGAAAGAGGCTTTGCTTCAAGCATGTTAACTCTAGAGAGAAAATCTTTTATATACTTGGACTGAGAGAGATATGGATGACCAGAAGATCGTTTCACCTCAATTCCAAGAAAATAGTCCAATTCACCAAGATCCTTTAAGGCAGAGGTAGAGTTAAGCTATGAAACAAACTGTTGTATAAAGGGAACACTGTTACCTGTCAAAATAATATCATCCACATAGACCAGCATATAGATTCTCAGGTTTCCAGCCTTATATATGAACAATGAGGGGTCACATTTACTTGCTTGGTGTCCGAAAGACAGAACATGAGCTTTTAGCTTATCAAACCAAGCCCTTGGTGCTTGCTTAAGCCCATAAAGAGACTCGTGAAGCTTACAAACCAGTGATTTATCCTTAGATTCAAACCAGCAGGCTAAACCATATAGACCTCTTCCTCAAGATCTCCATTGAGGAAGGCATTGTTAATGTCTAGTTGCCTTAATGGCCATTTAAATGTAAGTGCAATAGCAAGGACTGCCCGAACAGTGACTGGTTTAATGACAGGAGAGAAAGTTTCATTGTAGTCAAAATCTGGTCGTTGATGAAAACCTTTTGCAACCAGTCTAGCTTTGTATTTTTTGTTAGTTCCATCATGATTTTCTTTTACTTTAAACACCCACTTGCATCCTATAGCTTTCCTGCCAAGAGGTAAAGGAACAAGAGACCAGGTATGGTTATTTTGCAAGGCCTCAATCAGATTGCATTGCCTTGAGCTAGTTGGGACTGGTTAAGGCTTGCTTAACAGATGTGGGCTCAGCGTGAGTCAGTAGTACAAGGTTTCTGACAACAGTTTTTGATCGTGTGTTAATTGAATGAGTAGGAGATACCGAGCTTAGAGAATTTGAAGGTGCATGTTCAGAATGTGAAGACTCAGGACTAGATGGTGATGAAGATAACAAGTCAGAGGTTTGACTAGAAGAGTGACCAGACTGGTTAGTACTGTCTACGGGTGACAAATCTGTATGAGGAGACATTGGAGTGTTAGGTGAGACATCAACATTGGAGTCAGTATTCAGATAAGTGTTAGGTGAGGTATCAGAATTTGGAGATATGTGAGTGTTAGGTGAGGTATCAGTTTGTGATATAATGGCAGGAATAGTGGGAGTAGGTGGCATATTAGTAGATGGTGAGAGTGCATTGGTTTGAATAACTGGAGATATATGGGGTAAAGGAATAGTTGTGTTTGTAGGTAATTGTGGGGTAGGATACGACTTGTTGCTAAACCATTCCTTAGAGGGAAACTTGTATTCATGGAATAGGACATCTTTGGATATGTAGATTTTATCTTCTGGACTTAAACAAATGTACCCCTTGTGGTTAGATGAATAACCAAGAAAATACATTCTCTTGATCTAAACTCAAGTTTGTGTCTGTTGTATAGTCTAAGAAAAGGAAAACAAGCACAACCAAAAGTCCTAAGAAAGTTGTATTCAGGTTGTTGATTGTAGAGTTTGGTGTGAGGAATTTCAAAGTTTATGGCAGATGAGGGAAGTCTGTTGATAAGATACATAGAGGTTGTGAATGCATAGTCCCAATATTTCATGGGTAGGGATGAATGGGATAAAAGGGCAAGGCCAGTTTCCACAATATGTCTATGTTTTCTTTCAACAACACCATTTTGGTGATGTGTATGAGGACAAGTGATCCTATGTGCTATTCCATGTGAGCTGAGATACTGAGTGAAAACTCTAAACTCACCACCCCAATCTGTTTGGATAGCTTTTAGAGGTAGTTGAAACTGATTTATTATCATGGCATGGAATTGTTTGAACACATTAAATGCATCTGACTTCTGTTTTAATGGATAAAGCCATGTGTATCTCGAATGGGCATCAACAAAGAAAATGTAATACAGGTTACCAAGGGTTGATTTTATGGGTGAGGGTCCCCATAGGTCACTGTAAACGAGTGAAAAAGGCTTCTCATATTCAGTGTTAGATGGTGGAGAGTGTTGTCTGTGAGACTTTGCACAACAACAAGAGGAACAAAATTCTGCCATTTTATTGCTAATGTGTATATTACAAGTTTTAAGAACACTTTTGAGAGAATCTAAATGAGTATGCTCCAAACGGCAGTGCCACAAAGAGTACAATGAGCTGGAAGGAGTACATTCACTATCTCCATTTCCAGTAACAGTTTTATGGTACTGACTACTAACATTACTTCTAGAATTTACAACATTGACAGATCTGTTTGTAGGAGAAAGCAGAGATGAACTTGAAGAGGTATTATTTGACAGTGTGACAGGATTCTTTGAAAGATTCAGGTCTGAGAAGTGATATAGACCATCAGTCCCAACGGCACCTTGAAGGAGAATTTTATGTGAGTCCTGACATTTTACAAAGCACACATCAGAATGGAACTCAAAAAACACTGAATTATCCTTAGCAAACTTACTGACACTGATAAGGATTTTTGTGATTGAAGGCACTAGGAGTAAGTTCTTAAGATGCAAAACAAAATTAGATTGAAAGGAAGATATGAAAGAAGAAGACCCAACAGCTTTATGGGCAAACCTTGGCCATTAGCAATTAAATATGGTCTGTACCACTGAGTTGATGCCCTTGCATAATATTCTGAGATGCACCAGTGATATAACTTGATGCTCCAGAATCAGGTACCCACTCTACTAGAGGAGCAGTGTTGGATTGTTGAGTTGTCATATAAGCTTGGGCTTGATTTTGAGTCCTGTTGTACTGATAGGATCTCACAGGTTCAGGCTGTTGTTGGATAAAGAACTGAGGATAGGACGTGTTTTATGGTGGTGGTAGATTAGGAGTGAAGTTCTCTTCAAACCTATGCCAGCAATCTTTGACATTGTGACCAAACTTATAACAAAGTTGACAATTTGTACGTCCTCTTCCTCTGTTTGATCTCATACCATATCGTGCTCTTCCTCTGTTTTGGCCATTTGAGGTGTTAAATTGCCTGAAACTTTGCTCCTCTGTTTTAGTGATTCATGAACAGTGTCATCTTCTTCATCAGAAACAGCCTTTTGGTGTACCTGAATACGCTGGGTCAGGTTTGTTGAGGCTCCTTCAGCCAGTAATTGCTCGTTTTGCTTGACTGGAAGTTGTTCGAAGGCCATAAGTTCCACTCCTAGTTCTGCAACGGAATAAGCGTTTTCTCGACCATGAATCATCATCACGAAGGAGTTGTAATCAGAAGGTAGTCCTTCAAGTATCGTCTCTGTATGATCTTCAATGGATACTGGATTACCTATTGATTTGAGTGAATCACAGATAGTTTTGATCCTTGCGAGATATTCTTTTGCTGTCTTCGTTCCTTTCTTCATTGTCTTCAACTCAGATCTTAATTGTCTGGCTCGCGACTTCATCACTCGATGGAATAATTTGGGTATGTTCTCCCATGCTTCGAACGAGTGTTTCACTGGAAGAATATCATTCACCACTGATTTTGAGATGGTAGAAAGTAGCCAAGTCAGTAGCATTTGATCTTGCATTAACCATTCAGTATAATCTGAACTGAAGATGTTGCTCTCTCGATCTTCTTCTGATTCAAACTTTAAAGGAATTTTTGGATTTACTAACAAACGTTGCAATTGGTGAGATGTGATGATTGGCTCCACTATTTGATTCCAGAAGAGATAATTATCTTCTGTTAGTCTTGTAGAAACTTGAAAATTAAAAAGTGCAGAAGGATTTCTCTGCTCCATAGTTGTAGATCTGGAAGTTGATTTGCTTGTAGGTGTTGCACTAGTGTCTGCATTGGATGCAGAAGACATTATTGAAGGTTGTTCAATGGTTCAGGCCCTTGGATAGGGCTCTGATACCATATCAGAATTTGATCATGAAAGGAAAATGAGAGAAAGTGAGAGAAACTAGAGTGAGAGAGATATGAGAAATCATCTTTCTTATTAGCACAAAGTTTAGAAAATGAATCATTTACAAGAGAAAGAATAGGGAACATTATATATAGACTAGAGCTAACTGAATTGCTGACTCAGCAATTCTAACAATTTAATAACTGTCCTATAACAAACTAACAGCTGGTACAGCTGGTACAGCTTGTACAAGAATAGGAGATCAGCTAAGTCTGGTACAAACAAGATAAGCTACAACCATAGAATTAATACCTAATAAGTACGATACTACCTTTTTTTTCTTTATTAAATTACAAATTTCATATAAAATGTTACAAATTCAATAAAAAACAAGTATAGACTGAGTAGGAAAAGTTATAAACTTAAAAAAGTTACAAATTTTAATTAATGTAACTTTTATTACTCACTTTATAATTTAAAAAAAAAAGATAGTATAATATTCTTCTTCTTTTCAGAAAGAATATCGAAGTGAACCTCTAATTTTTAACAAGAAATTATCCACCCGCGCCTTACAGAAATCTAGTGTGGACGTTACCAGATAGTGTTATCTCAGCCATCTCCAAATTTCAGATCATCATTGAGTGAGCTATAACTTGAAAGGATAAATTATCATTCATTTTAGAGTGTAAAATGGAAATAAAAAAAATTTATGTACATATATCTTCTGTATAATAATAATTAGATTCGTGGAGGGAGACATTATGGAATTGAATAAAATATTAGCTATTGGTAAGAGGAAAGGAAGTTCCATGTTGACTAGAGTTCCTCATCACTATCTGAATCAAGCTCAAGACCTTCTGCCGCTAAGAGCCGGCTTATAGTCTTCTTCTTTTCTTCCTCAGCCTTTCTTCGCATCAAATCTCTTTTCTTCAGTACAAGTGTATGCCTTTTAAGGGTACTTGAGAAATTTTCAGCTGAAGCCTTCTTTTCTCTTGCCAGGATCTTCCTTGCTTCATCTGGATCAATCTGAGATTTCATAAAATACTTCCAATCAATTGAAAGGAAAAAATAAAAATAAAAATATAAGGTGTCTTTGACTTTGAGAAGAGATGAAATATGTGATACTGACACTTTCCAACACCCATTCTTGGTGAAAAATAACTATCTGTGATTATGAATGTATGAAGCTAGGGTCGTGTATCCTTTGAATTCACTCAAAGATGGAAGTAGTTATTAGCAACTTACTCTAACTTCATGTTGGCAGAAGAAAATTTGATAAAACTCTATGACCCACTTCTTGGCATAATCATTCAAGCCTACAGTAAGGTGGCAACATTTTCAAACAAAGCTCAATACCTTTGAGCGAGAAAGTTGTCGCACACGAATATTCAACTCGCGCTGTTGCTGCTCAGCCCAAGCAGCAATTGCCATATCACCCCGCTGATCAAAAGCTTTTCGCTTTTTCACGAGCCATTCCATCCATGCCTGAGATGCCTGAAGGAAACAAAACACCACATCGATCAAGAAGACAAAGAAAAGTTATGTATTCTAATCACAACAAAACAAAGAATCCATCCATTACTATCCATTTTAACCGTTTACAAAACAATTCTTTGAGGTACTTTCCTCTAAGGCTATATCACTGATAAAAAAAGTGGCAAGCAAACCATTTAGTGTACTCTCTGTACAAAAGATGAAACAATAGATATTTGTTTAAGTTCATCTCAGTTTGCCATGTATATCATACAAGGGTAGAAATCAAAATATCTCTTTCCTTTCAATAGGATTAATAAATGAGGCAGTTTGATTGGTCAGAAGTATTAATTAAAATCTTAACATTTAGTTTGCCGAAAAGTTCATATAGTAGATATTTGATTTACTGACCAGCTTAAAAATTGATGAAATTGAAAGAGATACCGCAACATTATAGCTGAAAAGAATTCGTTCAGGCTTGATGGTAGTAATCACATAGAAGATTATGATCCATTTAAAATCCCATATCACAGGGTGTAAATTAAAATATTAAATTTCCTCTGTAAGTGATAAAGAACATGCACCCGGTCATCCACTGATAATCAGATGTATAAAAATATTACCTTCATAGGGTTGACCCGGTTATCCTTATCATACTGTCTTCGCCTCTCCTCATCTATAAGCAATTCATAAGCAGCTTGAATCTTGATGAACCTTGCTTCTGCTGTTTCACCTTCTTCAAGGGTTCCTCTACCATCATAGACTTGAAGAGCAAAGTTAAAAGAATTATTATGTATTGAGAGCTTATATTCATCTTTAAGAAACAACACCAGCACAGCAGAACTGAATCAAAACTAAGTTGTATGGCACACTGTTGGAGAAACACTTAGAAGATAAATACTCACAAGCCACAAATGCTTCATAGGAACATACTTAGGGAGAAAAACAAAATATCTCACACGTTCTAGCAGACTAGCATTTAAAACAAGATGTAAAAGACAAAATGCTAACTATTAAGTAGTTGCAGTTGCTTAACTTCATCTTGAATGAATATAATAATATATTGCTGCTATATACGATTAATATAGGATTAGACAAAGGACCAGGCTACCATAATCAGCATTATCAAATATCAAGTTGACAGATACAGTTCACATGACACTTCAAGAAAACAAGTAGCTAAGATGAATATACATACCATCTGGATGATAAAATTTGGCCAAACGTCTATAAGCATTCTTTATCTGCTCCTCATCAGCATCTCCTTCCAATTCTGTTGTTTCAGCATAGACAATTGAAGAAGGAACTGTCAAAACAAGTATGCACAGAAATTTTCCGTCCCTATTCTCTTCTTACAAAAAAGGGCTAACATTACACAAGCATGCTTGACAGTCACAAACCCAAATACATCATTTCTTGTATTTCCAAGGAATTTTTAGCGCTAACCATCACATATTACCAATTTTTCGAGAAAATTATATCTATCATTGGTGCAACCTTAGTACAAGTAACCCTTTCTCAGTTTCTCAGTAACGAGAGTTGTCAAGAAAAAGGAACAAGCTTGAAAGTAAATTTACCAAGAGTTTCATATGGGGATTTTTGTTCAGCCCAGTTTGATGCCTTGGCCACAGTTCTCCTTTGATTCACACGAAACCAGGGCACGGTTCGGTTCGAACCGGAAGAACCGAGCCATATAGAATACAGCGACGGAGATGGCAAACGGGAATTGCAATTAGGGTTCCGAAACGAAGCCCTAGATCGAAATTGGTGTCTGCAACTAATGAAGGAGAACACCGCATGAGGCCTACATAGGGTTCTCATATTGCTCATTGTTTCCCTCTGATTTTTGAAGATCCTCAAACGAAACACTCACCTGAGGAATCAGCAACGACCCATATGTAAAAATCCTTTCTTTTTGGTCTTGGAAGGCGTGAACGGAGAGAAGAGATTCTGGGCCCTCAATGATAACGAACGCCAATGAATCTGATAGAATCTTTGAATTTTTGCAGTTTTTTTTTCTTTCTTTCTTTCTTTTTTTTTCTGTAATTTTTCTCAAAGAGGAAATTCTGATTTTCTTTTCTCATTTTTTGATGAGTGATAGCCGGGAATTTTATTTTTTCCCGGGAAATTTGTGGACGGTATTACAGTTATGCTCATATCCATCTACCAAAATAACTAATTTAAAATATTATAATTAATAAAAAAAAAAAAAAAACATATAGACCTACACGTTGAGAATTTATTGCAATTCTCAATTAATACAGTATTATGTCAAATCTACTTATTTACTTTATAACAAATCAACCAATAATTTGTAACATGTAATTTATCTATCTTTCTCTCTTTTGTGAGCCATTATTATTTTTAATTTAAAAATACTGGTAACTACCTGTGCTATAATACTGCTATTGAATTGAAATGATTTTTCCCTCTCTTTTTAATAATAATATGCACAAACAATCAATTTAAAACAAAATGAAATAATGGACACTAAACATTTTTTCTTTTCCAAAGATACTGAAAAGGTAAATTCCTTTTTCATAATATAAAATCTAAGATGATACACTGTTTTATATACAAGCATACTCTGAAGAGCAACAAATCACATAATTTTGCTTCATGTGCTACATAGCATTAACTTTCATCCATACACATATTTTTTCATCCAAAACTTGAGCTATTGTTCTGTAAACCACATAGCAGATCATCCATTTAAGGAGTCCTCCTCTAAGGAGCAATCTTAGGTGATTTGAATTCTTGAGGAAACTAAAGTTTGGGAGGCAAAGCAGGATCACAAGGACGAGCAGCCCAAAGAGAACTAAGAGTATGAAGACGGTGAAAGTATTCCCCCAGAACCAGCAAGCTCTGAGCAGCTTGGTTTGTTGACAGGATGCGTGACATGTGCAGCAGAGTTTGTTGCCTAAGGTGATCTGCCTGTGGAGTGTGAAAAAAAAAAAGAAAAAATGCATTTGATTTATTAACATAGCATGAGGAACATTTGCAATTACAGGAATCTAGGATCAGAAGTGTAATGGTGAATATGTATCATAAAAGAAGTAATTGACTCACTGTATATAGGGTCATTCTTCTAATAATGAAGAATGGTCTAGTTACTAGTTAGAGTTTAAATACCAGAATTTCCCTAGTCTTATAACCTTAGGGTAAGTGGGTAGCACTAAGCCATTCCTATTTGAATTAACTAATTGGTTTTCTTAAATGAGGATATAACTATTGTAGACTACAGAGAATGAATGTCACAAGTTTCTTATATTATAACCGGGACTAAGAACAAATCCTGAAGCCTATACATTACCTGGTTTACAAAACCTTCTAGTGCCTCAAATTTCTCCATGGCAACAGCCATCTGAAATCCAAAGACTCCTGCACCCAATGGATCAACTGCCATGTCATTGATCAGACTCTGCTGGAGTTTATCCAATCCTTGTGAAAGAGCATCTTCAGCTTGCTGAGATGATAGGCGCAGGTTGTTTATACTAACAATTTGTTGATCAGTCAAAGGCTCAAGTTGAGGAACTATGATCTGTCAGGAAAGGTCAAGTGGTTAGTTGTTTATTGAGGTTTCCACAGTTTGAGTTTTTTCAACGATATGCAACATGTATCATGAGACTCATGATTATCATGACATGAAAAACACTAGTCTTTGTCATGAAGAGTTAGTGTAGGAAGTTATCAAAATGATATTTAGTATGAGGTATGTACGTTAAGAAGCTGTGAGGGGCGGGATCCTCCAATCCAAAGGAAAATGCGCTCAACTGATGCTTTCCACACACCAGAGATTAAATAGAGGACATCTGCTTTTGCAGCATCTGCTTTCATTCTGAAAAGATTTGAGTAATGGTTCAAGACACTTTGAACAAGTAGATGGAGCTGTACATCAGTTGCATTAGTTTGAAATGCATTTCTAAGTTCTTCATTCCACTTATGTTGCTCTTGAACCCAATGTCCATATTCAATTTCAAACGCAACAATCCCTGCTTCACAGAACAGAAGGACTAGTTAGAATTATGTAGCAAGCTTCTTGCACAAAGAAAAAATAATTAAGTGGCAAATAAATTAACATCTAAATAAACCTTGAAAATTTTGATAACATGTTGTCCTTAAAACTATTCCTATCATGAAACTAACGTGTAGCTCAACACTTAGTTACTGAATCTTCTCCTATTTGAAGCAATGGAAAGAACAGTTTGTAGAGTATGACAGAATACATATTGCGATATTAGATGCAGGGATTTCTATTTAGCAGTTCAAGAAATATAGTTGGAAACAATCTGTTGCGTGGAAATGTAATCATCTGTAAACCAGTAGATTTTGTCACTTAGAAAAGATGAAACTTAACCAGTCATGTGAAAGGTCGAGGTCTTAAAGAAACAAGAAAGAATTGATGAAGGTGAATTATCCAAAAGGGGATACCAAATGAAGGAACACATCCATGAAAGGGGCATTATACTCACTCTTCACCTTTAGTCTGATATAAGGGCAGGAAAAAAAATAGGATTCTATATGCACATGATACCAAGAGGACTTCTAGTAAGGATATTGACAATTTACTTTGCACAAAAACGTGAAATTCAAGACAATTATAATTCTTTAAGAGGGTAGGCTGAGGAAATGGATGGGGCTAAAGCAATGATGAAGCATGATTGGCTCAAACCCTTTCGCAGAAATCTTTTAGGATCTTCCCTTCAACTCTGTGATTCAGAGAAGGGCAAGGAAGAAATGAAACATCTTCCACCGGTGGTTGAAAAGTACAGTTAAGCAGATATAACATGCACTAAAATAGAAAATATATGTTCACTGTTTAATTGTTGTATTTCTATCAAATTCACTGAGAACTGTAGGCCTCAAAGGCAATTTGATACAGATAAATGAACTGTATATGCATACTAGGAGTAATGACATAGATCTAGATCCCTGATATGTTGATTACTGCGTGAAACAAGAAAAATATGCATTTACATCCCATATATAAACATAAAAGGAAAAAAGAAAAACATAGTTCAAGTTTCTTCAATGCATGGAGACAAGAACAGGTGATATCTAGCTATTAATAGAAGAAGACATTTTAAGAAAGCTTAAAACTTATATCAAGAATTAGAAACCTGGGTTTATTGTTCCAGATGGTCCCATATAACTGCCATCTAATGCACTGCCTATGTACAGAGCCTGCAAATTAGTATATGCTTAAACATGACAGATGAAGCAAATATAAATCACAATAAAAAGTACAAGGAGATGATTTTTGAGTTTTGGTTCACCTGCTTTCTTGCTTTCCCAATCTCCAGCTCCAATTGCATGAGCTTCAAACGGCTTGTTTCTAATTGTTGAACATAAGCCTATGCATAACAAGAGTACATGAATCAGATGACAAACACTGGTTAACTTCCAATAAGTTCATTCATTCTACCTTTTTCCTCAGCCTACTTCTCTTAGCAGCCTCTCGATTCTGAGCTAGGCGTCTTCGCACCTACACATAAATATTAAGCAACTATATAATGTCAGAGATAAGTAGAAAACTCAAAATCATTCATGTTTGATATTATATATCTTTAAAATCATTCATGTCCTGATGAAACTTCATCACCTTACTAACATCTTTATTTGTAGTCTCTTGATCGTCTCCAGAAGTCTCCCTTGATTCATGAGGAATATATTCAGACTGGAGAATTCAAATTCAAAAGATTGTTATAATCAAGTTTTCACATAAAATGCAGCTGACCAACAAAAAAGGAAAGGAAAGAAAAGAAATTCATACTTTCTCACCTTGTTCTCCATGCTAGTGTTAACCAGTAACATTGGGGAAGCAATTGAATTCAGGCCAGTATCGACTTTAAAGCTGTCCTCCCACATAAGTTGCTGGAATGGCTCATATATGTCCATTAATTCTGTTTTATCTCTTGCAACGTCCAAATGATGAAAAGAAGAATTTTTCTGCATGTAAAAAAAAAACTTTTATACTTACTAGCAAACAAGAGATTTTTGATATGTTAAACTAAATCACTATCAGAAGGTATAAGGCTCCAAGCTGAAAATAGATAATCAATAGCTGTCTCCTAATTCTCTTTTGTATGCTTCCAATAACTCTAAATTCAAATACATCCCAGCCACCACCACCCAAAATAATAATCATAATAATAATAATAATCAAGACCTTCATACTCAGTCTGTCAAAGGAAATTCAAAGCTTTGCATGACTTGATAATTTTTCCAGAAATAAGCCAAAAAGTGCCTGTGTTTGACCCACTTGAGTACAAGATTTTGTTCAAAACAACAACTTTAAAGTTGGTTAAATCGAAATTGGAAACTAACCAAAAACATACTACTACTAATAAAGATTGAAGAAAACCAACCTATGACGAGCTTGACAGAATCTGCAACCTCCAAATTTGATTAGTCCATGAAAGACCCCCGGTTGATGCTCGGACTTATATATATATATATATATATATATATATATATATATATATTTGACAAACTCACTGGCTAAGTTGCTTTCAATTAATATCATTATTATTCTCCCGCATGCAAACAAGCTATAAAAGCAACGTTTACACTAAAGATAACAGGTGAATTTCAAAAGCTACAGTAAAAGTAATCAGTTATCACAACTTTTTCTTTTTCTGCTTTGTTTGTAAAACTATATTTTGAAACGCCAACTTGCTAACTTCGTTACTTTCCCACTCTAGGAGAAACAAGTGAGTGTGAAAGCATTAACTGAAAAAACAAATCACTAGTGCATTATAAAAATGAAAAGGTTACACAGAAAAAAGTACTTAGTTCACATGCACGTCCATCTTTTCTTGGGGCGATTTTAGACTGTAGAGTTAGTTTTTATAATTTTAAAAAATTATTTTAATAAAATGACCAAACTTCTAATTTATTTTCTCAAACATATAAATATCATTATTTTATATGTATAATATATATATGTGTGTGTGGGAAAGGTTATATTCACAAATTTTTTGTTTACAAACTACACTATGTCTGACCGGTAATACACTCTTGAGTAAAGTATTACCGTCAGACATAATGTCATTTGTAAGTTTGTAAAAAAAAATTATAAATGGATCATTCTCCTATATATATATATATATATAATAATAAATCTATCATCATTATTATTATAATTATTGTTATTATTATTATCTTGTAAAGAAGGAAGGATCAATGAACCTTATCTTGTTTGTCTAAAGGGATACACACCTGACAACTCAACTTTAATAAGAATGAAGTCATGCATAATAGTACTGTTTGTTCATTCCAACAGATTAAGCCGTCGATTTGATCAAGGTTGCTCCTTCCAACCTCATAGGGAAAGGTATGGTGCTTCATAAACGACATTAACTTGTGCTTTTATAAAGGAGAAGATAAACCAATTTCCGAAAGTAATCATTTATCGTCTTTATTTCTTTCTTTTCTCCCTTTTTCCATCACCCAAAAAAAAGCAATTACGTACAGTGAGTTCAACTTTAACCAATAATTTCCCTTGACTCCAACTATGATATCAATTATCAAGAGCTCGTATTTCATCTGCAGTGGATTTAAGTACATTTTTTCTACTAGGCCACCTTTTAGTCTGCTACCGAAAGCCCTGCATGCTTAGATAACCACTCGCGAAGAACAAAAACTTTGAAGTAGCAATTCATGCAGACACACTCATGCATGTTTTGGAAGAGTTTCTTTTTTATCAACTCTCACCGTAAATATATATGTTATCACACGGGGGACTCAGAATTTTTCTTTTATGTCTGTATATTTAGAGCGAAGGTTTGAGAGCGTCCTCTTGATTTTTTTGGAAGGTTAGGATTGGCAAAATGGGCCAACCTGGCCCGGCCTGACCCAACCCGCATTCAACCCAAAAAAACGAGCCGAGTTAGGGTTGGCTCGAAAAAAAAAACGAGTCAGAGTCGGATTAGGGTTGACTCGCGGGTTGGCTCAAAAATATGGTTTGTGGGTTGGCATAAAAAAATAGCTCGCGAGTTGGCTCGAAAATTGGCTCGCGGGTTGGCTCGTTTCAACTTATTTAAATGATCCTGTAGTATTAATGCACCAGGCTTCCATCATTCCATCAGCTTAAACAAAGGGTTACAAAATGAGAAATAAAAACAAAATATTTTAATTTCGATTTTCTTCACAACAAATTTGTATTAACATCAAGAAACAATCAAAACCACTTGCTACCAAGTGGGTAAGATATTTGAACTAAACAAAGTCAGCACAACCTAACAATATAAAAATGGCAGGAATGTGAGAAAATTAGGGACTTAGGTTTAGAGAAAGAAGAAAAATGACGACAACATGTGTGGATTTTGTCCATTTTTGTATATTATATTTTGTATTTAAAAAAAAATGAACCAGCGAGCTGGCTCGTTTGACCCGCGGGTTGACTTGTTTTTTCACGACCTGACTCGGCTCGGGTTGGCAGCTCATTTTTGCCAACCCAGCCCGGCTCATTTTTGGCGGGTTAGGGCCAACCCTAATCATCGTCCAATTTTTGCTTCCACTTCAAAAGTAAAGCTTAGGTGAATCAACCAAAATTTTAAGGAAATAATCGATAATGATAATTAAAAAAAATAATAAACACCACAAAAAGACATTGGTAAAATATAGTATAATTGTAGGGGTTAATCAATAAAAAAATCACCTTTGTCGATGTCTATTTAATCCAAAGTTGGCCACTTTTGTTTCACAAAAAAGGTGAAAAATCTCGTACGATTCTCATCCACTTGATAAAGATTGAATTTCAGGAATTGTTAATGTCTATTAAGATTTAAAGCTAATAAAGTTTATGTAAAAAAAAAGAAACAAAGCAATGAGCTAGGATTTAAGCTTTAAGATTTTAATTGTAGGGGTTGGTTGTGTTGGGTCTATCTTTACCTTTTTTTCTTTCAATCTTCCTTTTTCTTTTTTCTTTTCTTTTTTTTTTTACTTGAATCCCATGTAAAAAAAAATTTCCACCCAACTTTGTGTCTGCAAGTGCAGACAACTGCAACCACTTGGGTCTGCCATTGATCACATTTTTGCGGAAAAAATGTTTCTCCTGTAACCATAGAACTATATTATTTTGAGGATTGAAGAAATTAATGTAAGATATTTTAAGAATTTTATTTATTTTTTTATATGAATTTTATCAAAATATCCTTCATTAATTCTCTTAACCCTTAAAACAACATGATTTTGATGTTGCAATAAATATATATATATATATATGTGTGTGTGTGTGTGAGAGAGATTAATGACATCAAGACAAGTTTTAAGGTAGGAATTTTTTAAAAAAATTTTAATTCCATTTGAGACTATATTAGACTTTGTCATATTTTTTCTCAATCTCAAAACGACGTCATTTTAATTTCATATGAGATAATTTTAAAGAGAAATACTTATTCCATCTTAATAATAAGTACTATCTATCTTGCGAATGTTTGAATTACTTAATGTTTACAGTATTAAAACTTACTGATTATATAATTTAACTTAATTTATGTGTACCATTTTTTTATAAGAGATAGTATGTAGTTTTTGCTTTTATGCTTTATTTTTAGATAATGCATGTAATCACTCGATTGATCAATAGCCATACACTCATGGATAAATAATAGGGAATTTTTTTTATTATTTTAAAGGACATTGTTTTATATCATTTTAGATGAAACGATGTCGTTTTGGTGTATAATTAATATTTTTTACTTTTTTTTCATCCATAGAATTAGAAAAGGAATGAAAGTGAAGAAGAGAGAATGTAAAAAAATATCAATTATGTATCGTTTTATTTAGAATGACACAAAGTTGTTTACAAACACTTTTCCCTAAATAATATACTTATTTCATATTCCAAAATCCTGATTCTTAACTCACTCTTATACTATCGCTGAAATTTCATCAGATCAAACATATATGTTGAAGTACCCAGCATACTTAACAAATAAAAATGCTATTTTTAATATATGCAATTCAAATTTTTATTGGCATTAATCACGTACCGGAGAATTGTTCGTTCTCAATTATCCTAACAAATGATGTTCCTCTCGCTAGCTTGTTTTTCTTTAAAATGTTGACATCATATACATAGAATCAAATTAAATCACCTATTCATTTTTCCTGAAATGAAATCAACTGTGTTTTTTTTTGTTGTCTCTTTCTTTATTCCTTTAATTGAAAAATGACTCTTCAGTCGAAAAAAGAAATAGCAAAGAGAAAATATTCTTCTTCTTTAAAAAAAAAACACAGAGAGAGAAAGAGAGAAAGTATTCCATTTAACAAAGAGAGAACTTTTTTTTTAATTAAAATGTCGTTATTTAATTGGAGAAACAATAAAGAAAACAAATAAAGGGAATAGCTGATTTAAATCCCATATACATATCCATTGCTTATTGGGTAAGTTTTCTTTTTTCTTCAGAAAAATGAAATTTAAAAAACAGTTAGCAGTTGATATATATATATATATATATATATATATATATATATATATATAAGTAAATGTAGATAAGTTATCTACATTTGCTGTTAAAACGACGTCGTTTTGGGTTGAAAAATTAAAAAATTATAATGAAAAAGACTATTATAATCCTGAAATAAATTATAATTATAAAAAAACCTTGATTTCCGCCTCAAAACGACGTCGTTTTAGGCTCAATGTAGATAAGTTATATACATTGACAGTGGAAAAAGCGAACTCATATATATAGGGTCAGGATTATTTTACACCAGTGTAAGTTACACTCTTAATCTTGTCCACTGATCCCACTTATATCTAAGGGCTCAATATTTTTAGTAATGTGAGCCATTGGATACAAGTGAATCAATGGTCAAGATTGAGTATAAGACTTCTAACTCTTACACTGGTGTAATAATATCTTGTCCTATATATATATATATATATATATATATATATATATATATATGACAAATCCTAGTGGTACATATAATAGTGTATTATATATGCGTAAACAGCTGACACGGGGAAAAGGAAGGATTGCATCAATTAAAGATAGAAAAGATTAAAAAGTAAAAGTAGTAACTTCTTTCCAAGTGGCACTGCATGAAAATGCTCATTTTCTAACCAGATTTAGATGATACGAAAAGAGCATTGTATTTTAGAAAATAATAGAATATACAATTGTAATCACTGAAAAAAAAACCGAGGTAATTTATCACATATCGGTAATCTGTATGTAGATATTTATATTTTATAAAATTCTAATCATTGATTTTTTTTTTATATCAACCATAATTACCTCTTTAAAACGAGTCTTTAAGACGAGTAGGATCTTCTGAATATTTCCATAAGTTTTGCCTCTTTGAATCGGGTATGAGACTAATTCTGAATTTAGAGCTGATCAGGAATTAAGATTTTATATCCCTCACAAATGTGGCACTGATGAGGATCAAATTGAAGTCCTTTTCATCACTTATTCAGC